AGATGATGAGTAAATGATATCCATTGAAATCACAGTTGATTCAGCCTTTTTACATCTTTCACGATACAAACCTTTCCAAGCATCCACGTGATGAGCATCAGCAAACTGTTCAGTTTCCCTCAGCTTCAGGTTCCACAGTCTTCTCTCTGACAGAGCCTGAGTGTTGTTATTGGCATCTCTGCACAGACTCACTGCCAGAGCAGGGTCAGGGTTTCCCGAGGACAAAATCACACTGCTTAGCACTCACTTCGGGGGCTTCTGCCCCCAAAGGCAGAAGCCTTTCAGACCCCAGCCAAATCCCAGCCAGCTGGTATGGCTCTTGTGTTTGGTCAGAAATATTGTCTTTTAATGACCTGGTTTTGAATCAGTGGCAAAGGAAAATGGAGACTAATCCTGCTTGCTCACTGGCATGTATATCAGCACACAGGTAGAAGGCTTTGCTGAAAATGGCAGCAGGAACAGCATCACAGGTGGAATTGATGCTTTTTTTGGGAAGAAAGAGGAATTTTTATTGGGCCTCTGTAATACTATAATTAAGAAAATAATCAGAGGAGGTCAAAATCTTTTCCTTCACTCCTGCCCTCATCTTCTGGGTTTTCTTGAGGGCTATTGGTCATCATTTTCTTGTTAATTTTTTACAGAAAGACTTCCTGTTATTTCTTAACTCAAAGACACCTGTCCCCCACCCATTGTAGCATGGCTATTTCTAAAATTTTTTAATGAATTGATCTAATAATTCTACCATATAAGAATTGCATGACTTTCCCTGTACTTATTTTAATTTCCTATTTGTGAGGAAAGCACCAACCTTTACTGCAATTGAATAACCACAATTAACATTTCTTTACTGAAATTGCATAGTGTACTGGCAGACAAGATTGTTCTCTAAGAATTAGCACATATCACGCTTATATAATTTTTTAGTTGAATAGTTTTTAAACGGAGAAATTTTTCCCCAAAGAAATAGTCTGCAATCTATTTTATAAATTCATACACCCACATCTTAGTTGATGAAATCACTTCCTATTTCTCATAGGGGACACAGAGGAACTAGAAAACATACAAACAAATACAGCAGGAGCAATCAGAATATGGAATGGTTTGCATATTCAAAGGAACAAAACAATGTTATTTCAGCTCAAAAAAAAAAAATAGATGACTATAGGAAAATACAGAATGCTGATTCAAGTTTTCAGAATACAAAGGCTTAGAGGGCATTGTCTGAAATAATCTAATAGAAATAAAATATAGAAAAGTTGATTTCACACAATGCATAGTTGAACTGCAGAATTTATTGACATAACATATTACAGAGGCCAAGAAAATACTGTGACTCAAAAAGAAATTATATGAATTTGTGGAGAATAAGTAGGTTACTTACTTATGGTAAAAAGCTTAGGAGAAGTCTCAGTTGCCAGGATCCCTGCCTGCTAAAAGCTAGAAGGGTGCAACACAGAAATCTTTTTTCATACAGTTCTTGTAAGCACATTCTTTCCACTGAAGAAGGACCTTCCACTATCCCCTGGTGGGTAGACAAATGTTAGACAGTCTTACAAACAACAGCAGTTCTCCTAATTCAAATGATTTCTAACATTTCCTTAAATTGAAACCTTTTTATTTTTGTCAAAAATGCTCTTAGCGCTTGCTCTTCCAGTTTTTTATTGGGAAAAGGAGACTACAGATCCTTCTGTGCCAGTTACCCAGACAGAGCATTAGTACTGCTTTGTCCTGGGCTTCTTCAGGTTTATTTCCAGTTTTTACTTGTATTTGTGTGTGTGTGTTTCAGAATAAATTGTGCTGTGCCAGGAATAAAAAAAATCTTGCACATGATTGAAATTGTGATGATAATTAAAGTTTCTACCTTCTAGTCTAACCTTCGAGTTACCTATTTTTAGATGGCCAGAAAATTAGAATCGACGCACCATCTTGGTGAAGAACAGGAGTTTTTCACGTTTAAAACAAGCAAATGAATAATTAGAATTAGAATAATTAGAATTAGAATAATTAGAATTAGAATTCACATACCAGTGCTTAATTCTAATCTCAGCAATCAAATGCTGTTTAAAAGATGCCACAGAAGACTGAAGTAAAATTAAGGTAAACACAAACTGATGTATATACTCATCCTACATTTTGGCTCTAATTGTGGTTGTGCAACCTACTTTCTCCAACTAAGCTCTAGTTATTTTGGCAGGTGTACTCTTACAGAGCATTTAATAGTTTGCTTGTTTTTAATGGCGCACTATATGTGTGAAGCTGCCTGTTCTCCTGATAATCCTTGCTAAGACCTCAAAGAAAATCCTACATCCATTTAATATTATTGCTATTATTAATTTTTCTGTTATTCAAAGACTCTAGGGAGTGATGGTGCCATTATATGAAAACTTGAAAGATGAACAGTGTGAATCCAGTGTCTATATGGAATTAATACATATAGATATGAAGTATATGAAAATATTTCCTAAAAACAGTGTTGTGGAGATGTATTTCAGCATTTCATTTTATATTGCATTAAAGATCTAGCTGAAAATAGTTGGTACAAACTAACACATTTGCAATAATGTAACATGAATAATTAACCTTATATACTGATATTAATGATTCATTGTCTAGGATGAAATCTGTACATATTTATGTGTTATTGTCTAAGGATAGTTTTAACTTACAGGAAGACAAATATACATTTCTTTTTTTTTTTCCCCAGGATCCAAAAGAATCAGCGACAGTGAAGTCTCTGATTATGACTGTGATGATGGAATTGGTGTTGTTTCAGGTATTACTGTCTAAATTTACCTATGTTCAGTAGAAATATAACTTATTTATAATTTATTATGAATTTTATGTTTTTCTAGTGAATAATAAGTAGGACCTAAATGTATATTTTTTCAAGAGACAAAAATAAGTATTATGGGTAATATATATTAACCTCAAAAATTACTAACAGAGGGGAAAAAATCAGTGCGAATTTCCTTGTTGCTTTTATAAAATGAAAAAAATAGCATAAAAGTACTGTTTTTATTAAATGCCTAGAAATGGTCATTTGATTAATAGGCACTAAGGCTTTCAGATTGCCTGTCCTCCCAAAAATAAGGGCTCCCATATTGCTGTTGATGAGCTAAATTAGAAATGTATCAACTTAACTTTGGAGCGTAATAATAATGGTAGGGAAAAAGGGGGATTGATGGATATATTTCTAGAGTGCCTACTGTGGCATCATTTTAAAGCTGTTATCTTTTTCTTATCCTGGAAAAAGGTACTGAGTTTTGCCAAGTGCTTGAACATTAGAGAGATTCTTTTGAAACATCTAGATTTAAAATTTTATGATTTGATAAACTCATATTTTGACAACTTGTAAAATTATGGTCTTTACAGTTCAGTGAATAAGTCTACTTCCCTTACCTGAGTTTCTGATGTACCTTTAGGATCTTTTAGCTTTTGAATTTTTACTGACAACTCTACACCTTAGTTGCATTTTAATTCAGCCTGTCCGTATGGTAGGAAAGTTTGATGATCTTTTTGGTTTTGAAATATTAATTTATTGCCTTTCTTTTTTTGTGCTGCTGTCTCTGTGTTTGCAAGTCTTTTGGTTTATCCTTCTCTTATCGCCCACTCTCCTTATCATCCCTCTCTCATTTAAGGTTCCTCTACTCATTTGCAGACTCATCACAATCTTAGTTTAAATATATGCCTTCTTTGCATGAAGCCATTTGTCTCTCTTTGTTTCTTTCTTTCTTATTTACCCCAGTTCTTTCATTTTGTATTTTCAGGTCTTATTTAACATGACACTTCACTTTGCTCTTTTTCTGTCTGCCATATAAATACTGTATTACATGAAGTATGTTTGCTAAGATCCGTTGAGTACTCTCAGTGATCCTTTCTGTAAAATTAATGCATATTCCAAGTATTGCACCTGTGAATTAAACTCTAGAAATCTTGAAGAAGAACAGGAATTCTGTTTTGACTCCTCTTTAATTTACTTTTATTCATAATGGTTGACTAGATGTCCTTTAAAGTTCCCTTCCAATTCAAACCATTTTAATATTTAATCATCTCTTGGAAAAATTATTCACAGAAACCATCCCTTCTTGTGGCTTGGATCAGCCTGCTTAGAAAAATGAAATAAATATCAGTCTCTTGTTTCTGTCAACAGGAAAGGCTTTTAAGAAACCAATGATAAATAGATTGAAACACTTCTGTGTCTTTTTTTCTGGCTACATGTGTATTCTACACCAGCAACTGTCACAAAGGGTTTTGTGATATTACGTATTTAAAAAGAAATTTTTAGAAGAATTTAAAATAACTGTCTTCACATATAATGTACATTCATCATAGGATCAGAAAGACTAGAACAGATCTATTATATTTCATCTTTGCTGGATTTAATCAGCACAGGATAGCAGAAGGAGCAGCATTAACAGTTCTGTGTTTGTCTTTAGATTGCTTATGCATAGCCCTCAAACCATTTAAAGCATTAGTTTTGGTCTCCTGAATAATAAACTTTGGCCCTCAAAGTTGTCTGTCACCAGCAGCTCTGTGTGGGTGTACATCAGCATTTCCACATGCCCTCTTACGTGCTTAATGATAAAAGCAATACAATATTTTTATATTGATTTTTGAAAAATTCCAGAGCACTTTACAAAACATTATTTAGGTTACAACACTAAATACAGTTCAGAAAAAAACAGGGTGGCTTTTTGAGTGGTTTTTTTTTCTTTCTAGTGTCCAAAATTGAACATTGGGCATTATAGTTAACAAGTTCAATGAATATGGACTATAATTTCTAAATAGTTTTCTTCCCAGATACTTCATAGTTTTATGTTGAACCTGCTGTAACCTACTGAGTACAAGAAACCCACTGAGTCTGACTTTATGAACAGAGACACGTATTGTCAAGGCCATTTAATCATAAAATTCTCATCATTCTTGTAAGGCTAAAATATTGAGATATTAATGTTTAAAATTCAGTTCTACACCAATATCTCATCAGCATTACAGTGTATTATGAAATGCTATTAATCTGAGATGTTTCAACAAATGAATTATGGGAGAATGTAAAGCAGTGAATTCTGTATAAACTGCATTGCAAGTCTCTGTAGAGAAGAGCTTTGCCAAGTAAAAGAATGCAGTCCACAGCCTTGAGACGAAATACATTTATAGTGATGTTTTTGTCATTATGCAAAAGATAGCAGTATGTTTCAGGAGCAAATAAGAATACAGATAAGATATTTATTCAGAGGATAGTTAGAACCAAGTAAATTAAAAAAAAACAGTAACAATCACTAAAGAAATTATTATTTTTGTGTTTGAAGAAGAATGAAAAGCAATTATCCATTTTTGCTTCGCTTCTCAAAACACCTGAGGAGTCCTTTTTTTCAAAAGAATTCTTTCACTGTCAAGTTGCAGCCCTCCCTGCAGAGGAAACAAAAATCCTTTTCTCTACTTGCTAATAGTGTGAGCTGAATTTTTATACTTGAATCTTGTTGATAATTGCTTCTCAAAGCAGATACAGAACACACAAACACTTTGGTTATAGCTTGGGATCAACTGCCTATAGAAAGACAGCGTTAGGACATAGAGTCTGTGACTTCTATCCTTACTAAAACATGGATTTCATTGTAGATCACTAGCTAGCCTTAAATGAGAGCCTGCAGTGACCCAAAAGCCCAGTAACTACAGACATAAACACTCACAACCTTCTTCTTTTATTATATGTTAATACCCAATGTCCTGCTCTAAAATCTGTTCTTTCCAGGTTCTCCCTTGAGTTAAAAACAATAGTCCATGTGTCTCAAAAATCACCCCCAAATTGGAAGAGAAATTCAAGCCATGTTAAAATGGCTGACCCTCTAGGTCAATAGATCTTTAATCATTTTCCTTACTTTTAAATAAATTATGTATACGTTACTTTTATGCTTAGAGTTCTTAACACATTTTTATAATTCAGACCTGCAGTTTTAATTTTATCTGTTTTAAGAGAGAATATTAATATATTTGACTCAAAGTTTTTATCTACACAGTATGGATTTACTATGCAAATATTATGCTATGAAGGGTACATGTTCAAGCTTCTCCTTGCATTTTTAGTTTCATTTCTTAATGTATACTTTTTATTTTTACGTTTGTTCTCTTACTATTTGAATTTTTAACTTAGCATTTTTACTATTAAAAAAAATCTTTAGTATCATTTCCTCAGCTGTCATCTTCCTCTTCAAACATCTAAATTCTCTCAATGTTTTTTTTAAAACTAGTTGAAACTAGTTTTAAATGATTTTTAAATATAAGCCTCATCACTCTACTATGAAAGTAAAAATGTAATTTAATCAAAGTTTTATTTTCAGTTTATTAGTAATTATCAGTAGCATTCTTTTGGAGTGAAGTTAAGCAAGTATGAGCTCAGCATGTTAGTTTTTATTCTATCACAGTCCTAATGCCTACAGAGCAACAAAGGCACATAATAGGCACCAGAAATGTGCAATGAAGCTGCATTCCTATCAGAGATGCTCCTGATGGATGCTTCTCACAGAAGGGCAAGGCTAGCTGGGGTGAATTACAATCGTGGTGATGAGCACTTCTGAGAAGGAAAGGCTACATGAAAAGGCTGATAAATTCTAATCAACAGTGTGAGGAGGGGGCTAATTTGACTTGCGGGACACATGAAAATATACACAGATGAGTACTTAACTGAGAAGAAACATCTGTATAGTAACTGGTAGTTTGGTTCCTTTTCCCCCCAGACTTTGCAAGTCTTGCTGGGTATAGGGACAGGACTGAAAACACAGTAAGCTCTAGTTTATTACTGTGTGGGAATGCTCTTCCATACACCTTAATGATCAAAAGAATTGTCTCAAGTGTGATGGACCTATAAATACCAGTGCTATAGAGCTAAAAATACCTCTAAGGAACTGAGTTACTACAGAGGAAGTAACCAGTTGTTCCTACTGTAATATTGTTCCTTTAACTACACATTCCTTTTTCCCACATTTGTAGAATAATATTATGATGCAAAAAATTCCCCAAAGTCATGAATAATGTATCTTCAACTTATAGACTATTCAGATATTAATAATTCAATTTATTTTATCAGTTACTGTCAGCACTTGTTTTAGAGGACATCCAAATTCTTCATTTAGATGTTCAAATCACCATAGAAGCTGAGTACATTTGTATAAAAGAACTGAACTCTCTCCAAAGTGCCCATGTGTGAAATCTTGCTATGTTAAGCATTTCTGGTAATACGATTATATAATTGCTTTTAATTAGTGCTTGTTCTAAGCCCAACCTCAGTGAGTGTTAAAAAGTTAAATATCTGATATAGAGAAAGCTTGATGCCTCAATCAAGTACAGATGCTAAAATGCAGAAAACACCACTTAGCATCAGTGTCAGAAACAAATCAATTGTGTTGCCTGTGGCAAACAAAAATTCTAATATTGTCTTTCTAGAACAATTTTCATACAAGGAGTTTCTTTCAAGTCAACAAAGCAGCAAGGCATCTAAATTAAAATCTTCATTATTACACTTCAGTTAATTTTTTAGGGTTATTTTAGGGCTGTTGATATGAACTTCATACTTGGAAGTTTGTAATTTTCTTCAATTTTGTACCTGAAAACTGCAGAATTTGGTAAGAATTCATTAATATGAGTATTTACAGAACATGTACCCTTTGTAGCATATTTGCATAGTAAAGCCATGCTGTGTGGGTAAATAATTTAAGTCAAATATATTAACAGTCTCCCCTAAAACAAATAAAATTAAAACTTCAGGTCCGAATAAGGTGTATGTAGCGTGCCTTGTAATATCCCTTTTTTGATGTGAATTGGTTTTTAATGAAAACTTCCCATGAAAAGAAAAAGGTGGTGGCATTGAGGATATCTTTGTCATGTGCCCATCTTTAGGTGCCCGCAGCTCAAGTTGTTTATCGCTGATTATCTCTATACTGATTATCAGGTTCTGTGTGCTCTCTATGTTGATTTAAGAGGCTTGCCGTAGTTATAAAGCCTTTGATTCTATGGTAATGACTCAATATTTATAGCTGCAAGCAGATTCCAATGTTTATCCTGTTTTTACTACTGCTATAAATAATTATCTGCTTTGCTCAATAGCAACTCGTTGGTCAAGCTGCATTTATGACCTGTTTTCTGTCTATAATTTCCTTCCACAAGAACATATTTTTACCTACTTTCACTAACCTTGTTTCCAGGACATGGAATAGTTTTGAAATTGAAGTTAAATCATACCTGCAGTACAGGCAGTTAAATCAGCTGCATAACTCTAGAAAACCAAAAGATGACTTTGGAATTATCTCATGTTAGTGGGTTGCCCTACTGAAACTGGTACTTTTGAATATATGACCTGTTGCCTAAAAAGAAGTTTATAAATATAGAAATTTTTGTTTTGAGTAAATGAGTCATGAATTTCAAAGTTTATTTTCTGGCAACAAAGCATAGAAAATAATCTGTTTCTTTGAACACAGCTAAACAGGTCTAGTTTTGTTGATGCAAAATTACTGGGAATACTGATAGTTTCTGCCTTTTGATATGTCATAAGGAAGCAGGACCAGTGATAGTTACCAGAAAGAAATGCCTATCTGTTTCCAGTTTAATGTAAACCCCAGTTTTGGTCAAGCTTAGACTTAGCAGTTAATTACATAATCATAAACTTTTTTTGCAACAGTACTGTGCAAGTGGTCAACTACAATAACAAGTTAGAGCTGGAGGAGGCTTTTTTTCTCAAAGGAATTAATTTGTTTCTATATACAGATTTGTTTCTTTATATAGATTTAATAAATACAATAATTTTGATTTACTAGTTCTCACTTCTAGGAATTTTTCAGACAAAGGAGGTTTTTGTGTTTTGTTAACTGATTACCTTGCCTTTCATTATGTTTATTCAGGTAGAATACCTTATGCTATTATCATTCCTCTTGTACTTCAATGTCTGTACATGCCAAATATTATATAAACTGTTGATTTTTTTCTCAAGGATTTTCTTATTTCTTCAGATTACTGCTCTTCGTTGTTTTCAATCTCCAAATGCAACAAATTCTCCCTTTGTATCCAGAATACAAAAAACCATCTCTGCTTTTTTTATATCAATTGATATGTGTTATTAGGATAATAAGACAATATTTCTGTCTGTGTACTTGTACTGTAAATCATGTTTTTCATTTCAGTATATAGAAGTTCTTAATAACTTGCTACTCACTTATGTGTGTGGTGGATTGACCCTGACTAGACTCCAGGTGCTCACCAAAGACACTCCATCACTCCCCTCCTGAGTCAAAAGTGTAACAGACTTGTGGGTTGAGATAAGGACAGGGAGAGATCCGTCACCAGTTACTGTCATGGGCAAAACAGACAACTTCAGGAAATTAATCTAGTTTATTACCAATCAAATCAGGGTAGGATAATGAGAAAATACCACCTCCCCCCTTAAATTTTAAAACACTTTCCTCCCACCCCTCCCTTCTCTCTGGGCTCAACTTTACTCCTGTTTCTCTACCTCTTCCCCCAGCAACACAGGAGGATGGAGAATGGGGGCTGCAGTCAGTCAAATCACACATCCTCCTCAGTGGGAGGACCCCTCACTCAATTCCTCTGCTCCAGTGGGGTGTTCCTATCATGGGAGACAGTTCTCAATGAAATTCTGATGTGAATCCTTCCCATGGGCTGCAGTTCTTCACGAATTGCTCCAGTGTGGGTCCCTCACATGGGATGCAGTCCTTCAGGAATGAACTGCTCCAGCATGGGTCACAAGTCCTGCCAGCAAACCTGCTCCAATGTGGGCTTCTCTTTCCACATCTTCACATGTCCTGCCAGGAGCCTGCTGCAGTGTGGACTCTCCAGTACTGTTACTTTAGCTATTTTTCTTTTGGTTAAAGAATTACGGAATTGCAGAATCTCTTGATTTCCAGACTGATTTGCAAAAACTTTATTTATTTGTCTTCTCTGCTTTACTGGTGAGTGAATAATAGCCTGTTTCAAACAGAGATAAAATTTCCCCGTCTCTCCTTTGGTGATTTCACCCAGAACTATGTTGCACTGTCCCCTATATGTTTTGTCAGTGCATATGCTAAGAAGTGAACTTCATACAGATAAAAATCTGTACTTCATTACTGACTCTCAACTGAGGCTGCACGTAACATCATTTGATTGCTGTTTAGTGAGAAGAGACTGTCTGATCCTCAACATCATTATCTTAATGTAATGTAACGGTGATGTCCCTTTTTTTCCCCCTATTTACACACATACCAGATACACACAAAGCAGTTTACACCTTAACATAGGAGGAAAAAGTCATTTATGAATTAGAGTGGTTCATATACATCCTTGGTCCTAAGGCCATGCAATAAATATGAATACTCAGTTGAAAGTATTGAACATTGGACTGAATTAATGAGGTTTTGCTTTGGACCTTACTGAACATTTACCAGGAAGAAAAATAACAAGTTATGGAGTAGAAGACCGAATACTATTGTAGTCTCAGAAGATTCTCATGGTAAAAGAATAACAGTGTTATGAGCCAGAATTTTTCCAGTTTCAGGTGGATCTCTCTAAATATTCTTTACTTGGTTACTGTCTTTAGAATAAAAGAAGACAGTTATATCAGTTGTCATAGGCACCAGGAACTCTCTGAAGACTTCTTTCTGCAAAACATTGTAATCAGGTTAAGAATTGCAAACCTTCAATTCCTTATCATCATGTTTTAATTTGATCTTCAAAAAAACTGTGGAAACTTATTTGAAATTGCTGTATATCTGGCATCTGTTTTCCAGAGACTGTGGCACCCTGGGACACTGAATTGAACTTTTTTGAATTAAATGCAGTCACTTCAATAAACCCAACTTTTAAAAGAATTCTTCTTAAAAACCTGTGTAAAATGTCCATCTGGAAGCCTTTGGAAGACTTCTGCTGAGACCATTTATGCCTTCTGTTATCCTAATTCAAGATTAGGTCCAGGATATTTGTATATTTGTGAAGGAAATATTGTGTTTTAATTCAGAATCATGGGTGAAATTTGATATCATCGAGTTCTTGTTACTTTAATCATTTCAGATATACAAATTTTTCTTAAACCCCATCTCTTTTTTTAACTTCATAGTAGTTTCCTACCACGAATTTTTAAACTGAACTTTGGGTTAATTTTTAATTGTGGACATTTTTGTCTGAGATACATTACACACAATAGTTGCAATATAATTTTAATTAAAAAAGTAATAATTTTGTTATTCAAAGAAAAAAATGTTTTATTAGTTTCATTATTAATGCATCATATCAACCACAAATAAATTTAAATTTGGGTATTTTTATTATTATAAATCCCTAGTTTGGTGCATATGTAATTAATTTCTATATTCTTAAAGTATAACTATAGGAACTGTATCGGTACTACAATAAATTGTAACGACAGGAGTCAACTTTAGGTATGTATGTTTTATTATAGAACACAAGAAGACATGATAACATTCTTGATCAAATTCCATCTTTTATTGTGTTTCTCACTACTCCAGTTACAGTAGGAAATTAAAAAGTGCAACTTCAGATTCACTGAATCTTTGCATTTCTTTTTAGATTATCGACATAATGGGCGAGATCTTCAAAGTTCAACATTATCAGTGCCAGAACAAGTTATGTCATCTAATCATTGTTCTCGATCAGGGTCCCCTCACCGTGGAGATAGTATAGGACGGACTAGGTCGTGGTCTCCCAGTGTCCCTCCCCCACAAAGGTAAACTCTTGTTTAACTATGCAGTTATATACATTTTAGTGGTATTGATCCTGTACCAATACTGGAAAGAATCTCCAGACTTTCAAAATGGCAAGGAACTGGTTAGATCTTAAAAAATTATATAAAGCCAATAATGTTTGTTCTTATGTTATACTGATGTGCCTAATTTATACCTAATTTTATCTTGTTTATAGTCTTTATTATTATTTTTATCATATGATTATATAATTCTATATTTTTATATATAAATACATATGATTATACAATTACTTATGCCTATTTTTGCCTAATTTTTCATCAAAAATCAGTGCAGTTCAATCTAAGGAAAGCAAAATATTCTCCATATTTTCATTTTCTAGAGCTATTTAGAAGGTGCCATATTTTATAGTATGTGATGGTTTGACATTCCCTTAACATTCATTTGACAATGGATGTTTTCAACTCTTTCAACCCTTCCCAGAGTCAAGGTTCTGGGAGAGCTGCACTTCCTGCCTGCAGTAGCTTTCTTTCTACTAGTTTTTTCATAGTTTTATCAAGCATCAAGAATAAGCTGGCACACATACAATTTTATGTTTTCATGTGTGCATGCATACTGTATGCATTTTGGGTCAAACTTTTACCCAAGCTAGTAATTAACACTTGTTTAACACTATTGAAAACACTTTTCATTTTTTTGTAGTTTTGTATTTCTCTAAGGGTTTGAAATGTTTCTTGCTTTTGAATTTCCTAAAGCTAAGTATTTAAATATACTTTTAAATTTATTGCAGCTGTTTCCTACAATGTCAGAATCAAATGCATTATTTATGTAGAAAAGAAGCATAATCCATGGGTTGCAGGAATGTCTTTTTAAAATCTATGGAAAATGCAGGGGTGCTCAGGAAAGCTATGAGCATTATCAATCACATATGCACCCTCTTTAACTGAGTTTGTTATACACATGCTGCTATACAGATGTCCTAATTGCAGTAAGCGTGCTGCACACCCAGACATTTCTCATTTAGTGACTGACACCTCTGCAGGCAGGAGCTCTTGGGCCATAGAAGTTATATCTTAGAAGCCACTTTTCAGTCCTCAGTCCTACTGAATTTTTTTAATAAACTCCACCGAAGGCCCATTGCATAGTAGCTGACAAGAAATTGATACTGGTCTTGTGGTGTTTTCAGCTAACACATTTAATTGACTCTTATTCTCCCTGTAGATCAGAATGGAGTTTAGACTGTGGGAGGCATGGAACAGCATTGACTTAAGCTTTTTCTAAACCTATGCATTTGAAAAAGCAAGATGAAGGTGACTATAGAAAGTAGTTATACTGAAATGGTGTGATAAATCCAGGATGTTTATTATTCTCTACCATCATCACCTGCAATTACAACTTTTCACCTGCGTACTTGTTATCGAGTTGCTCCGTCCGTGTTCTGTCAACTGCAAGAAAGTTCCAAAGGAGTTTCACATGTTGTGAAAGAAACTTTTCTTGTAAAACAAGGTTCATTAGAGGAAGTATGGCACTTTCTGTTAAATAGTAAATCTGGCTGACAAAGATATCCTCAGCAGAGTGAAACAGGATTGAAATAGTATTAACACTTTGAAATAGAAGAAATACAGTACTGTAAGATGTTAAAAATCAGCATGAAGTCAGAATCTGATAATACAGAAATTTCAAGAGAAAAATTTATTTAGAGAAATAAGCTCATAACATAATCTTATGGAAAGTGATTTTAGCAGAGAGGATGGTATTGAGTTTTCAGGACTAAGTCTTATAGTCAGAGTTTTGGCAGGAGTTTTGATTTACTGGCCAGAGAGCCCAGATCTTTGGGAAGTTTTACAAAGAAATGATAGCTTGGGAAAACTTAAATATTATGCAAAAAGAACACATAAGTAAGATAAATAGTTTTTTTGAAACCTGAAACAAAAGAGATACCCTGGGGAAAAAGGTCGGACAGAAACTAGAGTACAGTAGCCAGAGTAAACTTTATATTTGGTTTCATGAATGCTTTATAACGAATGAGGTGGAGCCGAAGGCAAAAGTTTATGTTTACTGCAACATCTTCATAGCACTTATATGCAGAAATAAACAACAGCATGGCAGCAGCAGTGAAGGATACATATACAGGTTAACTCTAATCAGGAATTGGTAAATGGCAAAGGATAAGGATAATGGTACCAAAAGGGCAGACAAAGTGACAAGAAAGGACACGGGATCTGAGTGATAAAAATCAACAGCAACAAAAAACAAATCAGAGGCTCACATTAGTGCAGATAGCAGTAAAAGACAGGAGACAGAAGAATTTATTGGTCTAAAACTTGAATTTGTGTGGAGGGAAGCATGCAATCTGTCATTTTCAAATCTATACAAAACAATTATGTTTTAATTATCTAATAATTATTACAGTTAACTTGTCTTCTATCTTCCTATTCTTGTGGATTTTTTTACAGAGCAGAAAAAGTGAAGTTAGTGTGTATCAGTAGGTATCAATAGTTGAACTGAGTAAAGCAATCGATGGGCAAAGCTTTGGTCTCAAATAGTACAAAACTGCAAAGTTTATTGGTGCTATTTAACAAAGCCTGCACTATGGGCAGGCTCTAATTTACTCTAATTTACTCTAATTTAAACAGTTCTGTCTCTTTCAGATTCTTTATGAGATTATAGAATAAATTTTTCCAGGACAAAACAAGCAGCTATTTTTAATTCAGATGACAATGATTTCAGCAGGTTGAACTCCACTGTAACAGCCAGAAGTCCCCATTGTAACTTACTACATTTTACATCTTTATGGTATAGCCAAAATCAAGAACTCATGAAAAATTTTTTAGAGTGCATGTTTCAGCTAGAAGGAAATTCTCCTTGATGGTACTAGTCTGGAAAGAGTAATGAAATTTTGTCTGAAATTAACCTTTCTAATTAAAAAAAAGTTTTCCTCCCATTTCCAAAACAAACAAATATTGAAACAAAGGAAGAAAACTCTATCCCTATCACGGACTTGGCACCTTTTTCTAAATGAGCAAATTTTTTTGAGTTCTAACATTATTTCAGAGTAAATGTATGCAAAAGCTATGTCAGCTAGCAGATCTCATTAGAAACATGTTTGCTAATACTTGTCTGTACAATCCAGTGAGGGTATAGAGTGCGGGCACACTCAAACCTCAGAATCTGATATCTTTTATCCTTAGTCGGAATGTGGATCAGGGACCCCGAGGGACTCGATCCACCGCTGCGCATTACAACACCCTGAACCGCATGGACAGGCACCGAGTCATAGATGACCACTACTCCCGGGACAGAGAGAGGTAAATATCGGCCTGCAATTAGGAACACGGGAGTTACTCCTGCATGGTAGCTTGATAAAGGAAATAGCAAATTTACTTACCTAATCCCAGAGATTAGCATTTCCCTTTTCGTTTATCCACTGGTTACATGACATACATTAAAAGATCCAAAGTGCACGTAAGGCTGACAACACTGTCAAGTGAGTCTATCTTTGCCAGCAGGGAATTTGAAAAAAAATATATGAGAAAATGTACAGTCTAAAAGACAAATAGTTAATTGTCCTTTTTTATAAAAATATTTTTATGTATTAACAAATTCTTTGTGCTGAATATCTTTTTAAGAGATCGAGCAGTAGACTTGATGATTTTTGCTGCTGAATAAAGAGGTACAAAACCAGATAATTTTAGCTCCATATTAATGTAATGCTCCTATTGGATACAGTGCAGTTCACAGGTGTAACAAGAGTGTATTCTAGTACTGTGTTCTGTGTTTGGCTTTGCTCAAACTTCCGAGCAACTTTATTAAAAAAGAAAAAAAAAAGGTTAGGGCAACATGTATGAAGTCAGGGTCTTTGTGTTTAGAGGCACCTCTGACTGTGACTAACATTACTAATGTTTTGCCTGATGGAACTTTCCAAAGGGTGAGAGAGTGAGCAGAGCTTTCTCAAGCTCTATGAATTTTAATGCTGTAAAAAAAAACATTTCACCAATAACTGAATAATGTATTTAATTTTGCTGAATTAATTGTGGCAATGACTTTGTAACATTTAAAAAATTATTGGTCTTTTCCACCTCATTGTCTTCAGGTCAGAAAATCAAAACAGAAAGCATTTACTACCTTTAATTTTTAAAATCTTCCAGCTTCTTATACACCAAGTTGAAAACCTGCATTTTATAATGAGAGAAATGATTGCCAGATATTGTCTTATTTCACAGTTGCATATAGCAAGGAGTAATGTAGATATATTTTGTAATCTTGAGTGGTATATGACTAATATTTGGAGTTAATACTTTTACAGATTCACATTAGAGGTTATTCCTCAAGTGACATCAAAGCACATAGTTGGGGTACCCAACTGTAATACAAAGAATTTCAGTGCCTTTTAGTGAGCTATATTGAACAGAAAAGGTTAATATTTCTTAAAAGAACAGTGATGTGGTGGTCAATGATTATATGCAATGCAAGACAATATTCTTCAGAAGATTCTAATATTTTTCTTATTTCAGAAGAAAAAAAATAATTAATTATTTCTATTTTGATAAGTTTAAAAAAAGAGTACCAAAAGGAATTAAAAAAAAATCTATTTCAGTTATTTTTAATTTAATTTGTCCAAAAAAAAAAGTCAAATGAGCAAAAAATAAATATATTGAAAAAACGGTCAAGTATTTACAATCCAGGATACTGACTGTATTCCTTACAAGTATGGTAGATCATAAATGAACTTCTTTTTTGCAATATATTATTTAATATTTCTATTTAACTTATGGAAAGTACAACCTATTTAGTTAAGTCATGAGACTGTCTGATTTTCACACAGAAGGCAATAAATAACTTGAAGATTCTGAGCTGTTTCCTTAAAAGAAAATTACAGAATGCATTTGGGATATAATATTATGTTGATTGTTAGAGCACTCATCCTTGAAATAGTATCTAAACTTGTCCTCAGAGCCTGCATATGTCTTATGGAATGCTGCTGGGTTTGTTCACTGTGCCAGTTCTCTTGCTACCTCACAGATGAATGCATAGCAGTGAAAGTTTGCTTGAAGTACAGCACCACAGTATTTCCCCATCATTTCAATCAAATCATCCCTATTGGACTGACCTGATTTAGAGAAAAAGAATTCGTTTTTCTAGAATATGTTAGAAAAACAGTGTCAGGAATTTGCTGGTGATGAGATTATTGAATTTTCACATGACCATTCTAGATTAATAGGTATTTGCTTGTTAGGTGTGCTCTGATTCTCTGAACACGTTTATATGTTGTCTGTGTTTTCCAAAACACACAGAGAAGTTCTCCTCTTCATACATGGTGAGTTGTTGCCTGTGTAATCAAATTGCTGACTAGTTATAACTCTTTGCAACATACAGTCTCTGAAATGTATTGGTTTTAGGTAAGGCTGAAGAGAACAGGAAGACTGTTCCCAAACTTTATCATGCTTTATATTCATTAGTTTGACATGGTTTTAGGAATGGAAAAATTACTAGACTTAAAATTTTTTTAGAGAATATTTGTGATACTGACTCTGTTACATAATAAAAACCCAGTGGTGTCCAGAAAGTAGCTCTTTAATGGTGCTGATCCTGAAAACTCCTGGGACTGCAGGCAGTTTGGAGAATTGGAAAAACTGAACTTTATAAACTGAGGTTTATAATCTCTCTACATGTCATCCACATTTGACTCTGAAAACAAATCACATTTTGCTTTCCCACAGCTCTGATGGTTTTCCTCTTTCCACGGTCCATTTGGCCCCTGAAGCTCTTTACAAAAAGGGGATTTTGAAAAAGTCCCTTCTTATAGATATGCTCAGTTGCTTACTTAAAGTATGAGTAAGAAAATTCTTCTCTTCCTTTCTACATAATTCAACATAGAGTTCTCTAAGGTATATGGCACTAAGGAATTAGTTGAAACCACATACAAAATGCTTAATGACCTCAAGAGTAATAAATGTCAATATTACTTCAAAACTGAATGCATAGTTAAAACAGAAAATAAAATAAAAATAACAGAAATTAAAAGCTCTGAAAGACACAATTTTTAAAATTTATGTGGAGACAATTTCAATTTCGGACACAAACCTTTAAATATGTCAAATGTGGCTATTAAATCATATACTTATTTTTGTTGGCAAGGTAATTTTACAATTCAAATTTGTATCTGTTGCTATATCATGAAAAATTGCAGAATTGTACTGTGTATACTGCTAACTCAAAGTGAGAAATCATGTTCATTTGTTCCCTGGATATTTAGTATAGACCTTCTAGTTAATTTTTGTCAAAATGTAAGGTTTTTTTGCAGGTACCCACACTCCTATGAGATAGCCTAAATTTTTAATGTAAAGAAATACGAATGCTTATGACCTAATACAGACCCTAGTTCCTTAAGATCTTTTATCTGTAATGGGATAACCTTGCAAACTTCAGTTTGACATTTTAATAAATTCTCAAAAACTGATTTTATGTCACTTGAGAAACTGAAACTAATCAAACTATAGAGGAAATTTTGGAAGCAGCCAGATTTAACCTGAGTTTAATATTTAAACTATCAATATTAACCTAGTTAGAAGAAAAATGTAAGAATCTTAACATAGTTCCAAAAAAATAAAAAAAAGAAGCGACATCAGTCAAAACTATATCTGTGTATTTCTTTCTGAAAGTTCTATCAGCAGTTAACAACAAACATTAAGACTGTAAGGAAGTTGTACTCAGGCTCTATCAAGCTTAGATACTATTTAGCAACTATTAATTTAGCTGTATTCTTTATCCTAAATGGGCTATCCTAGAGGCATGGAATTGCTAATAGTGAATTTAGCATACATATAGTAAGCATTCAGAGAATGACTAAAGCATAAAGGTTTTTCTACTGCACACTTAGAAGAAAATGAGAGAAAAGGCAAATTAAATTGAGTCACTATCTCCTCATCAAAGCTGTTGCACACTTTCCATTTTAAAGCACAAAAATTATTATCTATCATTTTAGAGTAATGGGGTAACCATAGGCATGATTATTTAAAGAAATATTCTTCATTATCTTTAAATCCTTTCAAAGATGTTATCTGGGTGTGCTGGGACTAACTCAACTTTCTCACCACTATTACTGAGAGGAGATTTCATTCCCAAATTTGAATACACACTTTGTTTGTTTCATGCTGTTGAAAGGGGGAGCTTTTTTTAAACATAAAGTAGATGTCAAAATATATGCCAAAAAAAATCTGTTTACTATATTTAAGCTGGTTAGTCTGCTACATGTTAGCTAAAACACTATTGAATTACCTGCATCTATTATTTAACACAAAATTGAATATGGGTAAAAGCAATATAAATTCTACATTTCTGTAGAATGTATGTAATTAAATGTCATCTTACACTGTGCAGTTGCTTTATCTATGAGTAGCAGGCTCCTAATCCAATATTGTTATTACGTAGGTGCCAGATTAGGTCAAACTGGGAAAAGAGTTTTTGAGATGTTGCACCATAAAACCTGAAAAGAACAGATTATATTTTTTTTCACAGTCTTTATTAAATGCACATCTGAATAATATATAATTAAGTAGTCATTTATTTATTATTTACTTAATATTTTAGTGTAAAATCATTTAAATGTACACTACAGATACAAAGATATTGCAAAGTATAAAGGGTACCTGATGTTTTTTGTAGAAGTTCTGGGATAATATTTTCAGTTTTTGGTTCTGTGTGTCATGTGGGTACATACCCACATGTGGCTATGCAATGTCATTGCTTTGCTTCTTCAAACACCCAGTAAAGTATAAGAAATACATGGCTGAAAATTTAGTTATAGCTATGTTATAAAACGTTTGCATCAACTGGAATCTCAATAATTGGAGTGTTTAAGTTTTTCTTCTCCTTTCAAATCACTGTTAAGTTGCAGAGTTAGCTGCACCACCCACCAGCCTGGTGCCTCCATGAGTGCTGAAGAATGGTTATCTCCTACAGAAGGATGTGCAGTGGGAAGGTGGCGAGAGAAGTGCAGTGTTTCAAATGTAGCTACATCTGTAAGGACTCATGATTCAGAACCTTTGTGCCAAATTAAACAAAAACAACAACAAAAAGTCATAGACGCATTCCTCAGAATGAAATGCACAAACAAAATTCCCCTGTTAAATATAATGCAGTTCTGATAAAAGACTTCAGTGTTACTGCAGTTCTGATAAAAGACTTTAGTTGCTCCCTTTGGAGCAAGGGCTTAAAATATAGTATGGGGAGCACTGTGATAATGTGATTCTGACTTACTGAAAGTCATCTTGACTAAATATGTGTCAGCTTACAAATTCTCTGCTGA